AGCTTCTCTCCCAACAGCGAGTTAGGGCCCCGATGGTTGTATTCGCCTCCTGGTCCCTGGTCTGGAGCCCGAGGTGGGGGGAGAGAGGTAGGATTTCAGCCCTCCCCCAGCAGCTGGCCAGCAGGGTGAGGGGCTGGTTGTATTTTAAGCTGTTGAGTGGTTCAGCAGGAACTCGGAGGCCTCTTCTCCCAGTAGATGCAGTGCTGCCTTCCTGCAGGTCACTTGGGCTCGGAAGGCATGTGGGCACTGCCCCTGGGGCCCAGGAACTATTAATATACCTGCAGCCATGGAGCAGGCCCACACTCGCGGGGGCCCTGCTGTTCTAGTCCTTTGTGGAGATTTCTTCATGCTTCCTTTCCCTCTCCCTGGGATCCCCGGGTGGGGACCAACTCTTGGGCAGTATGACCAGCTCCCTCTCTTTGACTGGCTTTGTTACCCCTGTGACGTGAGGGGTTGAGTAACCTCCCCCCCATGCCACACTCTGTGCAGTTTGGAGTCGACAGTATTATCTTTGATGCCGTGGATGATAGGGAGGGATCTTCTCTTTTGTCCATGGCATACCCCTGAATTGAGGCTGATAGAGAAGTGATTCCATGGAGACCGCTAAGTTCCCTGCCTCTCCTGCTGCCATTGGAGATATATGAGGGAACCCCTTTCTCCAGTGTGGTTCAGGCTGTGGGTAACTCATCTCCTGGACCCTGGGTAGGTGGTTGTGTGCTTGAAAGAGCCCTGGCGGGAGCTCTGCCTGTTTTGAGGTTTTGTGTCCTGCTCCTTTTCCCTGTTCTGCTCTGGCTGAGGGCTGACTGAGGGCCCACCAGGGCCATAAAGTGTCTTCAGCCCCAGCTGCTTAGGGTCAAACCTGGTCCTGCCTGCCACAGCCCCTGTCTATAATAGGACGTGCGGTAGAGAGTTCTGGGGCCTTCCATGGTTGGTCTGATCATGAGCACAGCTGGGCCCTCTCCAGCCCCTTGCGCAGTTTGCCCCATTTTCTCTCACTGGCTTCCCCCTCACCCAAGGCAGTACTTCTCCCATTGCCACTGTCTGACAAATTGTTAGGGGATTTAGGGGGAGCAGAAGGCCAGGCAACTCAGGGAACCAGAGGTGTCGGGAAGTAGGGGTATGTGCTTAAGGCTTGGAGGGGATCCTGTGTTGGGCTGACAGGTAGGAAGAGGGCCTTAGACAGGCCTGGGTGGGAAATGGAGAAGCAGCTCTCAGGGGGGAGGGGGCTGAAGCTCGGTCAGCCCAGCCTTGGGGCACATGTGGGAACTCCTCGTTTCCTGACCCTTTCCACACTTAGAGAGAAGCTCTCTGCACCAATAACTCTGGAATTTGTCACCTCCCTGGGAACACAAATGCACAAGGAAAATAATCCAGAGTGTCTCTTACAGCTCAGAAGGGGAAATGGATGATCTATCTTACGGATTCTCAAAATAGCTGGGATTTTTCCAAGCCCAGTGAACTCTGAGGACCTGAGCTGGGCACTGGGGCTTAGGCTGCTGTTTAGCCTCTTCTTGAACCAGGTGGGGGGCTTGGGAAGTACCTCCATGCCTGCCTCTCGGTCTTACTAGCCCTTAATGCTGTTGGGGGGATATGTCCAATCGAGAGTCTCATTTTCAGGACAACTTGGGCCTCTCTCCCCCCTCCTCCGCCCAGGTCTGTGTGTGGCTCCTGGGGGCGCAGTCTAGGGCAGTTTTATATTTAGCCAGGCCATGGTTGTGGGGCCACTCAGGTTACATCTGCACAGAAGCTGGCACTGCCAGGGCAATGTGGGCACCTTTCCAGCACCGCGGCAGAATTTGATCTTGCCTGCCTGGCCCAGAGCTGCCCCGTGGTGGGGGCTGACGGCCGGCAGCCGGGGCCGCTGGCTGAGGCAGGCAGAGCGGTGCGGCATGGACCTGAGCATGAGCGTGGTGGCCCGGGAGGCCAGCCAGGGCCTTAGCCCTGGCCTCAATGGCCTCCCCCGGCCCGTACCCCCCAAGATAACAAAGAAACCTAAGAAGGCTGTTCTCTTCTTCGAGGTGGAGATTCTGGATGGGAAGACCCGGGAGAAGCTGTGCTTCCTGGACAAGGTAGGACGGACCTCAGCTCCACTAGGCCAAGGGCACTAGGCCTAGGATCCTGCTACTTCCGGAGGTTCTTAGTCGTGGGAGAGGGAAGTGAGCTTCCAGCCTATGTCTTGGCACCCTACCTGCTGCCATTTGTGGGGTGGAGGGTGCACAAAGGGTTCAGTTTCTGGGTTTGCCTTAATGAGCGTAGGGCAGTGGTCAGCCCTAACCGCTGGGTGTGGCTAGGAGCTGGCCTTCTCGTTGGAGAAGTGGTGAAGCAGCTTCAGTGGATCCTGCAGGCCTCTAGGGTTTGGGGAGGTGGAGTTCTGAGACCTGCCCCCTACTGAGGCAAGACCTGATATTAAGAGATATGTCCCTGGGGAGACCTTTATTCTGGGGGGACCTGTTGATGTGGGTGGGAGGGCATGCCGATTATCAGGCCTAGTTCCCATGCTCACATCACCTGGGGTCTCCTGACCACCTATTAAAACAGTTTTGGTAGGGCCCTTGGACTTTTGGTCATATGGCCAGGGGCTGGTCCCTAACCCTCCTTCCTCCCAGAGCAGTTCCCCAGACCCCTAGTCTGTCCCCCTTACCAGGAGGGAGCCTGGATCATGGGTCTGTGCTTACTCACGTCCCTGTGGCCTGTGCTTTTCCCAGGTGGAACCCCACGCCACCATCGCCGAGATTAAGAACCTTTTCACCAAGAGCCGTAAGTCCAGGGCCCAGTCACACTGCTCCCAGGTGGGCCCCAGTTCTGTGTGCCTCTCCTTCAAGGGCCTGGGGAGATGCTGCCAGCGTGGCCCAGGCCTTTCTGGGTTTGCCCAGGTCATGCACCCCCAGTGTTGTCATCAGCAGAAACGCCCTTGCTGTGCTCTGGGAAGGACATTCCGCCCCTGCCTGTGCTCTTCCGGCTTGTGTCCTAGAGCCTCACAGGGCTTACAGGTCTTGTCATGGAGGCAAGAGGAACTGTGGGGGTCTGGGGGCCCATTCAAGTGCATTTGACACCTGCTCTTTCTGCAGACCCACAGTGGTACCCCGCCCGCCAGTCCCTCCGCCTGGACCCCAGTGAGTACTTCTCTGCTCAGAGGTCCCTGCTCCCCCTGGGTGGGGGCCAGCAGGAGGCGGCTCTGGCAGCCCCTGAGCCCTGGCCTGCCTTTCCACAGAGGGCAAGTCCTTAAAGGATGAGGATGTTCTACAGAAGCTGCCTGTGGGTACCACAGCCACACTCTACTTTCGGGACTTGGGGGCCCAGATCAGCTGGGTGACGGTGAGTTCCAGCTGTCCCGCTCCCAATGGCCTCCTCTTTAGTCTGCCCCCTTGGGGTGACTTATCTTGCCACTCCCTCTATGCCCCTAGGTCTTCCTGACAGAATATGCAGGGCCCCTTTTCATCTACCTGCTCTTCTACTTCCGAGTGCCCTTCATCTATGGTCACAAATATGACTTCACGTCCAGTCGACACACAGTGGTGCAGTGAGTGGGTGCAGGAGGGAGGGGCGCTGGGGGTAGGGACTAGCAAACCCCCCTCCCCTGCTTAACCTGCTCACTCCACAGCCTTGCCTGCATCTGCCACTCATTCCACTACGTCAAGCGCCTGCTGGAGACGCTCTTTGTGCACCGCTTCTCCCATGGCACCATGCCGCTGCGCAACATATTCAAGGTGAGCCCCGGGCCCCCCACCTCTGCTCACCCACACCCTTGCACCCTCCTTGCCCCTATCCTTCCACCCTTCTGGGCCAGGCCCCATCTCTGCCCTGCTTTTTCAGAATTGCACCTACTACTGGGGCTTTGCCGCGTGGATGGCTTATTACATCAACCACCCTCTCTACACACCCCCTAGTAAGTGGCCTTCAACCCTCCCTGTCCCTCCTGTCTGAGCCCTGCTTAGGCTTCCGCTCACGGGCCATCCCTCTGCTTTCTGTTCAGCCTATGGAGCCCAGCAGGTTAAACTGGCACTGGCGATCTTTGTGGTGAGCAGTCTGGGGTAAGCGGCGGGGTTGGGGAGTCTGAGGGGACCTTGGCTGACTCCACTCTCCTGACAGATCTGCCAGCTAGGCAACTTCTCCATCCACATGGCACTGCGTGACCTGCGGCCAGCTGGTGAGTAGTTAGCCTGGGACAGGAGAGGGTCAGGCTGCTTCAGGGTCCTTCTCACCTTCCTCTCCTACCCACCAGGATCTAAGACCCGGAAGATTCCTTATCCCACCAAGAACCCCTTCACGTGGCTCTTTCTGCTGGTGTCCTGCCCCAACTACACCTATGAGGTGAGGGTCTGCCTTGCTCATCTCCCCACCCCTGGCTTGTGGAGGTCCTTAATGGGGTGCTGGGCTTGTCAGCTTTTACAGTTTGAATCTGGAGCCTTCATAGGTGGAAGCTGCAGCCTCTTTGGGGGTTGGAGGATGTGTATGGCTGGCTTGTGCTGTCAGGGCTGAGGGGCAGCTTCACCGTGCAGTCTTAGGCATGGTAAGGTCTTCACAGAACCACCAGCCCTGCCTGCCCTCACCCTGCTGTCTGCCCACAGGTGGGGTCGTGGATCGGCTTTGCCATCATGACACAGTGTCTCCCAGGTGAGCCCACGCCCCTCCCTCAGTGTCCCTGTCCCCCGACCCCTTGACCCACTTCCTGACATTTCTTCTTTCCCCAGTGGCTCTCTTCTCCTTGGTGGGCTTCACTCAGATGACCATCTGGGCCAAGGGCAAGCACCGAAGCTACCTGAAGGAGTTCCGTGACTACCCACCGCTGCGCATGCCCATCATCCCCTTCCTGCTCTGAGACGCTTACCCTACCTGGGCTGGTCATGCTGGGCTCTTGTCCCTCCATCCCAGTGTTTCTGAGGAGGCCAGGAGTACTCTCAGCACCTGGAATAAAACTTGCCATCTCTAGCCAGACTCAGACTCTGCATGTTTCTTTGGGGTTTGGGGCCAGCACACCACAGAAGAGGCAGGGCTCGGGCTGAGGGCCTGGAAGCTTTTATTTCTGACACAGGGTAGTGGCAGGCCCACTACAAGGCTACCTCTGGGGCCACCTCTCCAGTGCCCTGGCCCCTGGCCAGGTTTGCTTCCCTCTGCTCTCGCCGCTGCTTACGCTGGAGTAGTCGCCGCTCCCGTTCGAACTCCTTCATGCGCTTCACATAGCTGTGGGCAGAGCAGAAGGGGCATCAGGCTTAGGCTCTCTGGCTCCCTCCTGTAGTCCTGAGGCTAAGGGGACTGGAACAAGTGTCTGGGAGCACTCTGGGGTGGCCTCCAGTGGGGATTGGAGTTGGGTGGCCTAAGCAGGTATCCCGGGTGGACCCCAGTGAGTGCTGGCAGGGGCTGGCCTTCTTTGTGGAACCCTGGCCTGGTCACTTTTCCAGGTAGCTTCACTCTACTTCCCCCCCACCCCCTCCCCTCAAAAGGCCCCTTGGGATGCCTCGTTAAACTAAGGGGAGTCTGGCCAGCAGCCTTGGTACTAGTTCCTGTCCTCCTGCAGTTGGGCAGCTCACTCAAGGTGCTCGCAGTAGTCCCAGTCATGCTGCTCGTGCTTGCAGGCCAGGAAGTTGGGGAAGCTGTCACGCTTGCATTTGAGCAGCCGGATGAGGTAGTGGGCACAGTAATCCCGTTGCTGGAGCACCAGCTGTGCGTCGTTCATCTCTTGCTGCGTGGCTACCATCTCTGCAGGAGGTGGGTGAGGGGCTCAGCATAACTGCCAAGACCCTCAGGACCCTTAATCCAGAGAAGCCAGCTTCGGGGTCATGTGGGTACCAGCCACCCTGACAGGTAGAGTGTCTTGAGGAGCAGGTTTCTCTAATTTGCAAAAAAGTGAGTGATGGGGGAATAGTCCCTCTTTCCCCAGTCAGCTGGGTTCCAACATCAATCCCTCCTCCCCCATCAATGCCCAAGCCTGTGCTCGAGGTCATGTTCTTCTAGTGCAGGAGCCAGGATGCCAGCTTGGCTCTTGCTGGTCAGAGGTGTGTTCTCGTGGAACCTATGGATTCTCAACCTCTACTCTAAAGTCGACCAAGTGAGCCTTTAGTAACCTAACATGTAAGGGCCTCAAGGAGGGCTGGAGCAGCCCTGGTCCTGGTGTTCCAGCCCCCCTCAAAACCCCAGCCCAGAAGAAACCAATTTCCAGTAGGCCCATTGTGGCATGGGCACATAATCCAGCCCTGCTCTGCGCTATCCTGCACTTTCCCGGCCTCCTCACTGTACCCAGCGTGGGTGCGCAGGCTGTAGTCTTTCTCCATCTTTAGGTGCCCTCCCTTCCCCTATGGCACCTGTTTTTCTTGGTCCCTGTTCCTTCCATCAGTATCAAAGTGTCCTGTCCCACCTCATCCTCCCTGGCTGGCTTCTCTTCCTGTTTTCCAGCACACCTCTATCTCACCTGGCTGGGGCGTCATCATTTCCTAGCCCTGTATCCCATTCTCTTCCAGCTTCTAGCACCCCAGCACTGCCCAGGGCCACAAAAGATCACAGACTACCATGCTTCTTTAACCTCTTGCTTGCTTTTCTCTTGAATGTTCTTTCTTTTCCCAAGCTCCCCCTGTACCATACCATCCCTATTTTCTTCCCTATCTATGGCTGAGACACTAAGGTCTCTTTCTAAGGTCTCTTGCTGAAGAACTTCTACTCCATAGCTGTAGTCAATTCACAGACAGATGAGCCCCAACTCGGCCACCCCCACCTTCACCTCATCTAGGCCCCAGACTTGTGTATCCAGTGTATTCATCCCCCATCATGGTATTGTGACCAGCAGCAAAGATTTACAGAGCATCAAGTATGTGCTAGGCACTGGAGATATAACAGAAAACAAGGATACAGAACAAACAGCATTAGAGAGTTGTAGGATGCTGAATACGATGTGGAAAAAGGGAGAGAGAGGCAATATTGGGAGGTGGGTCATAACTTTGGATGGAGGAGTCTTCAGAAAGTGAGGGTGAGGCAATGAGTCACACAGACACCTGGAAGAGTGTCTATGCAGTGGAACAGCCTGCACACAGGCCTTGGGCAGAGAGGACAGGCATCAGGATGCCCCGAGGCAATTCTAGCATCCTAGTTAGCACTGTAACTAGGGGTCTTGAGAGTGAGGTGAGGAGAGGTGTTCAGGAAGTTGGTAGTGATCCACTGTTGCAGCAGCGGGAAAATCAGAACTGAGGCAGTAGGGCTTGGGGTCACCGACATGGGGAAGGGAGGTCCTGACAAGAGCCCCTTCAGTGAAGTGATAGGAAGATAGTTGGAGGGAATGATAGGCTGGAAGGTGACTTTAAAACAGTAGATAACTATTTGCAAGTTGCTGGGGAAACCATGCTGCAGGAGAGAGGGTAACCACTTAGGGCAACCTGCTGGATGGAGGGCACAAGGGAGTTCTTCCAGACCAAGGGTAGATGTGGCCAGGTCCCAGACCACACAGGAAGAGTGTACAAGGGGTCTGTGAGAGCTCTTTTCAATGTTTCAATTTTCTTAGTAGGAGGATGAAGTGACCAACTGAAAGGAAGCATCAAGGAAGTGTTGGCTTCTGAGAGAGGGTGGTCTAGGGAAAGAGAGGGTGAAAGGCTATGAAATGTAACAGGAAGCCAGAAGCAAAAAGGGCCAACTGGAGGAGCCACTGGGAGGCCAGTCAACCAGGCGGGCTGTTTTTTTCCAACGATGTTCAGCTGCATAGGCACAGGGACCAAGAAGGAGAGCTTGATTAAACCAAGGTTTTGGCTTAGGCCAATGAGAGCGGAGTAGGGGGTTGTGGGTGTTTGTAAAACTGACTGTGAGCAAAACAGCTTGTGAGGAGCACTGGTGAGAACTGAGGTCAAGGAGAGTGAATGGATGGACTAGGAATCAGGAAGATGAGCTCACCTCCCTATCTCTCAAATACAGTATACATAAAACAGCAGTGCTACTTGGACCTATGTTTAGAGGCCTTCCAAGCTCTCTCCCACCCAGAGCCAGCATGACCTTTCCACAAAGCAAGTGCAATTGTGTTCCTGAAGCCCCGGCTCTCGCCTCTCTTTGGTCGCTGTATGGCTAACTCCTACTACTCATCTCGTGTGCCCCGGGTCTCCCAGGTGCCGCTTCTATGATTTTTCGGGCCCCACTGTCTCCCACTTCGAGTTCCCCTGAGAGTACCCTACTTGGGACTTGGCCCGGGGTTGGTTCTCTGCGTGCTGGCGATATCGCTACATACAAAAAAAGCAACGTACAGGGAAAAAGTACGTGTGGCATGAGTGCCGGCTGGCTTTCTTGTGTATACATAAAACAGCAGTGCTACTTGGACAGCGGTACAATGAACACGCCCCCTCCGTGAGAAACCCTCCCAGGACTCTCGGCTGAGCCCAGCTTCGAGCACCTCATTAGCTGGGCCTTTGCTCATATCATGCCTTCTACCTGCGATGCTTCTACACTCAGGCAGGGTCACGTTCGTCCCCAGGAACTCCCCCGCACCCAGGTCGGAGCTAAGCCCAGTCCCGAGGACATTGGGGTTCGGGGGTCGCACCTCGCGCGCCACCATCCCGCCAGCCGCGCCTGCGTCCTGGGACTCACCGCGCTCCTTGCGCTCCGGGAAGCCGTAGTCGGGCGGGAAGGTGGGCATCCTCAGGGGGTCGGGCTCCCTGGAGCCATCGCTCAGGTAGCGCCTGCCCAGGTGCGCCCCCATGGCTGCTGTTGCCGCGGGTTTCCGCCGCAGCTCGGGGTCACCTCGCTCCTACTCGGAAGCACTTCCCTTCCCTAGTCACGCCTTCCGGGTCGCTCAGGCCGCTGCGGGGATCATAGAGATGAACGCCCCCGGAGGTTTCCCGATATCTCTGGTGCCACCTTGAGGCTGGGAGGAGACAGTGTCCTCTGGGTAGACACCGGGCCTCCCCTCCCAGCCTTAGGCTTCTGAAATTCCAGCTGACTAGAGTGGAGAAGGAAGAAAGGGGAGTTGGGGGGCGGGTGTGTGTGTGTGGGGTGTGTGTGTTTGGGGTGGGGGGAGGCGGGAGGGGGGGAGATGATGTAGGCCTGGGGCCTCCCTCCATCTTTCCTGGGCGCCTCACCTCTCCTCAGGCTAGAACACAAACGAAACCTCTTTTTCATGTCTTATTTCAAAAAACTTGTGCTTTTCTTTTCTAAAACATTCAAAATTGTTCTTAAACCTCCCTCTCCCAATATGGATGATATGATTAATGAATATCAAAATTTAAATAAAGTTATTCAAAATAAGTATTTTAATTAAATTTAAATAGGCAAATACATTTACTCATAAATAAGACTATTTAAAGTTAAAATTTTAAAACAATTCCTGTTGAATATTTTTATAAAAATAGAGCCATTTACAATTCTAGCATCCTAGTTACCACTGTAAAGAACTGGTATTATATTTTCACACCTGTTACTTCAGAGTTTAATATGTTGCAAATTCAGAGTATAATACATTGTTTTAATACTGCCAGATCCCTCTTGGCCTTAATGTGCAACAGTGTTACTGGATTCCAGATTCTTTCTGGAATCCTGCATTGGAACACAAAGAGACCATTCACCAAATGCTTGGCAATGTCAGGAAATGATAGCTGGAAATGCAAGAATAGACTTCATTAGACAAGATGTTGTGGTTGATTTGCTCCCCTTCTCCTCCAGCCCCAAATATGTGTAGAACTCCTGATTTCTAAAAGTCAGGTCCTTATTTGAAAATGGGGTCTTTGCAGATGTAGTCAAGATGAGGTCATACTGAATTCAGGTGGCTCCTAACCCAGTGACCTGTGTCTTTATAAAAGGAGAGAAATTGGGCCCGCCCTGGTGGCACAGCAGGTTAAAGCACAGCACTTAGAAGCTAAAGCCACTTCAGCACTAGTTTGATCCCTGCCCCGGAGGTGATCCACAGGGCACGGCAGACCTTTCCTGACCCACCGCTGCTCCCCTCAGCAGTGTCTTTCATCAGTCGGCCTGTTCTGCTCCCCACTCTGTCTCTGGTGAATCTTCTCACCGCCCCTGCTCCTCTGTCCTGTACTCCAGTTCTGAATGCATAGATAAATAAACCTTTAAAAAAAAAAGGAGAGAAATTTGGACACAGACACCCACACAAGAATTAGACAGAGGAGTTTATGAGGGCAAAGATTGGAGTGATGCAGCCATAAGTCAAGGAATACGTGGAGGCATCAGAAGCTGGAGAAACAGAATCTCCCATTGAGCCTTTGGAGGAGGGAGTGTGGCTTTGTTGATGCCTTGATATCAGACTTCTGAACACCAGAGTTCTGAGAGTATATTCCTGCTGTGGTAATCTACCAGTTTGTGGTCATTTGTTGTAGCAACACTAGGACATGAACACACCACTTTTAGTGGATAACCCCCAAGTTTGTCTTTAGGTGTGTCCTCTTTTCAGAACTGCAGATGTATGTCTGCAGCTTCCCACTGGACACCACCATATGGGCATCATCACAAACCTCACATTACGTCAAGCTGCTGTAATAAAGTACCGTAGGCTGGGGGTGGCTTATAAACACAAGTTTATTTCTCCCAGTTTTGGTGGCTGCGTGCTAGCACTGTCCTGTTCTGCTGAGGGCTGCCTTCTGCTTATAGGAAGGAGGGTGTGCTCTGTTTATTGAGGCCCTGACTGCATTCACCAGGGCTCCACTCTTGTGACCTAGTCATTTCCCATTCCTCCCCTGCTCCCAGCTCCATATATAGGGATACTTCATTTTATTGTGTTTCTTTACTGCATTTCACAAATACTGCATTTTACAAATCAAAGGTTTGTAGCAACTTTGAGTGGAGCAAGTCTATTTACACTCCATTTCCAACAGCATCTGCTTATGTTGTGATTCTGTGTCACATTTAATCAGTAATGTATACGTTTTTTAGACATGTAAACTACTTTTGTAGTCTCTGAGACACTAAAAAACTGTGATTGCTTTATTACAGTATTTGCTTTATTGCAGTTCCTGTGGAATTGTATCTCATGGCAGTATCTGTACTATCACATTGACAATTATATTGCAACTTTTTTTGGTGGAGGGGAGACACAAACATTTAGTCAAGATGCATATTCAGCTCACACTCTTGATTTCTCTGTGCTGTTTCTTTTTCAATTCTTGGTCTTCCCGTCTTTGGTGATGACTGCTCCATTATTCCAGGGGCTCTGTCTCTAAACCTTAGAGTCATACTTGACTTTTGTCTTTCTCTCATCCCAGACATGCTATTCATTGGCAAATTCATTGACTCCACCATTGAAATCAATAAGAACATGTTCCCTCCCCACCTTCTCTATGGCCACCAGGCCAGGCCAAGGCACCACTGCTGCATAGCCTGTCCTCACTTTCTCTAACTTTTCCCTCTCAGGCTGCACTTGTCAAAACAGAAACCAGATGTCATTTTGCTGCTGCTGAGAGTCTCTTGTGGCTCTCTAAAGCCACATCCTGCCTTTTACTCCACAGTAGAGCTGTGGTGGGACCTCAGAATCTGCATTTCTAGCAAGTTCTCATGTGATGGTGATAGTGTCACAGGGCAAAGAGAGGGAGTCCCTAGGACTGCCAAACCTGCCTGTTCTAAATAGGTTCTGTTATCCTGCACATCAAGACAAAACATACTCTAGTACATAAGATCTTTAATGGAAAGAAACTTTAATACAACAAAAAAAGACAAATAATATAGGTTCTAAATCCAATACTTGAAGTTACCCCATTACCTTGTGGGTAAATGCCCAGCCAAACAGGGCTGGCCTAACCATGTGGTGGGCACCCACAAAAAGGGTCAGAAACAACCAGACAAATATGGGAGGAAAAGTAGAAAGTCAAAATCAAGACAAAATCTGCCGTTGTTAACCTCTCCACGGGTCTCTCACCCACATCTGTTTCATTAAGTCCAGGACCAAGAAACAAACACAGCTTCTTTACCTGGCTCTCTGCTCCAGGTGCCTCCTCGAGGTCTTCTTCTGGCTCTCCATCCTGCTTCCTCCTTCTCCAGTCTCCTCTCCAGCTTCTTACCTCACCCTACCATGGATGGGGCCAGGAATCTGGCACCTCCCATTTTCTTGGGGACCACCCTTTTACAATAGTGCTGATTTGGAGACCACCCTTGGGAGAACTACTAAGCTTTGACCATGTTATTGTTAACTGAGAAAAGCAAGCTATAGAGAACACATCAATGGTGATCAATAGGGCGATGAATCCCAGGCTGCCTGTGACTCCTCTCCAGGCCACAGCAGAAATCTGTGATTCTTTGCTTTTCTTGACTCTAGGGGGCAGCATTTACATTGTGGTTGTGTGAGTGGCGCTCTTGGGGTTGTGTAGTACACAACTGTAGCAGGGAGCCCTGCCTTATCCTGGGTGTCTCTTCCTCCCCTCCCTTCCTCTGTGCTCAGATGCTCACATTTGGGAGGAGACCCAGAAAGCAAATTACATTTCACCCTCCTTACATGAACTCAGGCAGAACTGACTTCCCCTTTCAAAGGCTCAATTTACTCACAGGTAACACAGGGGTCAGTGATGCCTACCTTGGAAACTTCCCAGCAGAGGTCTCCTGCTCAATAGTCTGCACAAGCTTCATGGTTTTATTTTCCTTCTTAGCATTTTGCACCATCTAACCTTACTTCATTTGACTTCTCTCGCTTCCTGTCAGTTTCTCCCCTCTGAACCTCTTTCTCGGAGCAGAGATTTTTTTTATTATATGTTTTATTAATATATTTTTTATATCATTCTTAATTTTGTGCACCTTTCCATCTCAGTGGTAATCCCCATGGACTTCCCACCACCAATTCACCCATGTGCCATCACCATAGTCCAGTGCACTCTTCCCACCTCAGTTTTGATCCCATCCCCCTTTCCACCCCCAGAAAATGTCTCTGGTTTATAGTTGTTCATTGTTTTCATTTTTACTCTGTTACATTTGTTTCTCTCCCTCCCCCCATCCCTTACACTCCTGCTATGAGTGAAACCATCTGGTGTTTTTTCTTTTCTTTCTGGCTTATTTCACTAAGCATGATCCCTTCCAGTCCCATCCATGTTGCTACAAAAGGCATGTGTTTATCTTTTTGATTGCTGAGTAATATTCCATTGTATATATGTACCATATATATATATATATATATGTACCGTATATATATATATATATATATATTTTAAAGATATATATGTATATATATTTATGCATACAGAACTGGGGTACAGGGGTACGGGGGTGGTGATAGGATTCACCAGAGGCAGAGTGGAAAGCAGAACATGTGGATAGATACACATGTACACTGTTGAGGGGAGCAACGGGTGAGACAGAAGTGGTCTGCTGTGCCATGTGGACCATCTCTGGGGCTAGGGACCGAACTCACACTGAAGTGGCTGTGGCCCACTGTGCCACCAGGGAGGGCCTTACCACATTTTTTAATCCAGTCATCTATTTTTGAGCATGTGGTTTGATTTCATGTCTTCCCTATTGTAAATAGAGCAGCAATAAACATGAGGGTGCAGGTGTCCTTTTAAATCGATGTTTGAGATGTCTTTTGAGTATACACATAGGAGTGGGATTGGAGCAGGACATTTTGTCTGTGTTGTTCACTGCTGGTTCATTCCTGTGTTGTTCATTTTGGTTGTTCGTTGTCTGTGTTGCTCATTTTGGTTCATTCTTGCACCAAAAGGGAGCTGGCGCATCATGAGTGCTCCATAAATATGTGTCATATTGACAAATAGAGTGGTTAGGGCCCTCCCTGGTGGCACAACGGGTGAGGCACAGCACCATGAAGCTTGCTGCAGCCACTT